GAGATATATATAGATATTTCGCATTTTTTTCGACACTTCCTGTTAACTCACATAATGTTTATCGGCCGATATGAACAAAGAACACCCTCAACAGCACCCCTGTCGATTTTAAAGGGGCTACCCCCACATTTACGAAAATGACATAGGTCTCAATGGGGCTGATAAGGTCTATGTCCCCTGGGGTACTGCCGGAACGTAACCTGGGTACGGTCCGGTATACCAGAACGTACCCTGGTCCCTATTTCAGTATTTGATATGGTTAGGGTTCGGGTTCGGGTTCGGGTTCGGGTTAGGGAGTATATAATATAGGCGTAGGCGACTCCCTACACTCATTAGTGGAGTAGGCTAGGTACGGTCCGGCATATAATATAGTACCAGGGTACGTTCCGGTATACCGGACCGTACCCAGGGTACGTTCCGGCAGTACCCTGGGGGACATAGACCCTATGAGCCTCAATGGGACCCGGATGCCACTAGGGACAGCGCGTCTCCCAAGCCCGAAATAGTAGGTTTCATGGGAGAGATAGTGATCCGCTAGATGGCGCATTATTAATTAACAATTAATAAAATCAGTTAACCCTAACCCTAACCCAAATCCTAACTCTAACCCTAATCCTAACCCTATCCCTAATTAAAAATAATAATAATAAGGCCCTCTAGGGAGAGAATTCTGTACCATGGGAGACGCGCTGTCCCTAGTCGCAGCTATGGGACCCATGTTCTCTATCCTTGAACCAGCGTTAAACTTAGCGTAGTGAGGAAACTCACATCTTCCAATACTAGCAGTTTCACCATGTGGAGTTAATCTTGTTCGATGATTTCTGCCAGATCCCGCATTATGGTAGCCCTGTCTATCGTGTCGAATGGTTTTGACATGTCCATCATATTCAATTTCATTTTGTTAGCCATGTTGTTAGGCAATCGGAAAACCCATTCGACTCTTCCCGTCATGCCTAGAAAACAGCGCTATTCTCTGAATGGTCCGAGGGTACCCGATTGGTTGTTAGGTTAGCGCGCATCTCGCCCTCTAGCGCCTATCTCCCTTGTGTAAAATTCAATTTTATTTGCGGTGCATCCATTTTGTATCAGAGATGTCTGCTTGTGCTGTCAACGATGAAGACAACCATTCATATTTAATAGTATATTTCTAACATACGTGAATGGCCTTTATACGGGGATTTTATGTGTGATATTGCATTAGACAGTAAGTGTACATAAATTGTTCTATTTTATTCACTGCAGCGAATGTTATATGTGCTGTAGTGTAGAGTAATGTATGTGTGTAAGCCTAGAGCTAGAGGCTAGAGTTACTCAGTATTAAGAAGCGTGGGGGGACGGATAATTACGTTGGCAGCCGTTGGCAATAATTTATTTCTTTCGCAGGTTCTTATATTTACAGGTTGGCATAATTTATAGGCAGTGGCTGGAGGTACGCCAGGCGTATCTTAATGTCTCGAGGCTACGGGTACGCCAGTCCATTCGCTTTCATACTTGACATCATTATTCAATTTCGCTATAAAAAAAGGAAGAGACGCTTGTATAAATTTTCAAGCTCAATCATAGGTTTACAAGGCATTCACCCATCAGCACTCCACACAACTCCCATGTATTTACAGTTGCACAACAGTGTTGCCATCTACAGTCCATCAACGAGATTAGCAGCCTCCGGCCTCTCAAATTCTCTTTTCCTGGGTTTTACGACGTAACGTATGATTGCTGAAAAGCACGAAAACAAAGCACATTAGCAAAGTTTTGGACTCCTTCTTTCTTTCTTCGCGTCCCTTACTCAAACGGGACATCCGTAATGGCAACTGCATAACTAATGTCACTAACATTACATCAAATACACATCAACTAGTTTATGATATAGTGAGCGTAGCGAGTGAGCAGCGTATCCTTACGATGCAATTGATCTGACGTAGTGATGATATCGTGAAATTAATCTATCGTGGATGTGATCATCCGTGCAAAGGCAGAAGAGCGAGTGCATGCGTGTGCATTGTGCGTGTATGCACGCGAGATGATACTTACCGTCTATGGGTTTTTAGAAGTAGCCGCTGTCGGTCAGACAGGAGAAGACAGAGGGCACTATGTCTGAAAGCTATCCCTGAGCGAAGGCACACGCAGCCACCCTCTGCGATGTGTCGGCTTCCCCAACTCCAGCACCTCCTTCTGCTGCTGCATTTGCCACACCTGTCCGCCACACAAACACACATCAACCGTTATTCAGCCTGATTGAGTAAAAAGACCGAAAGCATGAAGAAGACCATTGTGACTGTAGTCATTCGTCGCTAAATTTATGGTTGTAATATGAATATCCTAAAATATCAAGTTGAAATCTCAAAGATATAGCTCAAAGGTGTGCCTTTCCTTGCCCTTTCTCTGCCACCCTCTTACCTTCTCCTCCCTGTGTCGCCTCTCCTTCTCCTCACACTTCCCCTTATTTATTCTTTCTGTGTCGCCTCAACCGAAGGCTTGTGATGGTGGCGGCGTGAGATGCAAACACCCGTATTATTCCGTACCGTATATTTCCACACGATATCGCTGTGAAATCTCATCTGAAGGACAGACACCTGCAGTGGAGAAAAGGTTCGTATAATAACTACACACATTGCTGCTACATTTGACACTATTTTTTACATACGGATCAATAGTTTTAGTATGTATGGTTCGCTGAAAACTGACACATACGTGCAAGCTTAATATAGCTATACATTGTAGACAATAATACACCACAGTGTAACTCTCTTGTCCATCGTTTCAGATTGAGTCCCATCATTTGTAATCTGTATCAAGTACCATCATTGAATAAAGACTGATTCACAAAATGGATGCGTTCCTATCTAAGCTTGACGATGTAAAGGTGAGCTAAAAATGTATGCTATGTTTGACTATATTTTTCTTTTTCCTTTTTCATATTCATTTTCATATCATTCAAATATTCATGATCTGAGAGAAATCTTTCCAAATGTACACCACCAACGGGCGCAACAGTGCTATCAAGCTGCATGTTGCATAATTACACGGTGATGCATACAATTTCTAGAAGAAATGCAAATAC